ATGACATACTGCCCCAGACCATAATGGATGCTGGAAATTTCACTTTTCTCTTTAGACAGTCAACATGGAATGCTTAATTTTTTTTGCGAGTAACTCTACTGCGAGTGGCACCAACACAAACTTCGAATCGAAATGAAAATAGGCTGATATGCTGTAATTGCAACATGTGTTATTTTTATGCTGCAAATTTGATTAGGGAGTGATAAAGTTGGTGTTTTCCACTATATATTATCAAAATATTCATTGTTAATATTTTAAACCTAAAGCACCCTGCTACATTTTTATTATTTGTGTTTGATAAGAAAAAACTAAGATTGTACAAGTTACAAAAGCCACATTCGCAAGTTGCTTATGTTCCATAAAAGTTCAAGTGATTCTAGTGCGGTAGGAAAAAAAGGACAAACTTCTTGGCACAAAAAAGGCTCAGATGTTAGTAAATCCTCTTATAGAGAAGATCAAAAGATATTTGAAATGTGCTTATTTTTTGGTAGTATTAACTTTAGTATAGAATTCATCGGATGGTAACATAGGGGACTTTAAATAATAGTCAAGATTAACTACATAATGTATGGTTAATTCTGCACGATCTTTTTTAAATAAAACGTGTTTTGATGTCATACTTTTTTCGAATAATGCAATAATTATTCAGATACATGCCCTATGAAGTATTTTGCGATTCGGTCGCCATTTCTAAATATGACTGTCTTATGACTCAAATCACGTGATATTTTTCTTCAAACATCTTATCAACTTCCAGACTAAAGCTCAGTACACCCGTTACCAATTATAGCACCTTGTCTTATAGTCAGCGTTCGAACTTGGTTTTAGTACTACCATAGACATATGACTTTACATGTAGAGTAGTGTTATTTAAATACGTTCTCAAAGATTAAGATCCTTGAACACCACGATAATTATTAAGTTATTTATACATGTTTACCTTTAGAAATGGGTAAAACTAGCTTTAAAATATTAAAGAAGATATATTGAATAACCTTGGAGGTCATTTTCAAATATGGCGGCCAAATCCCTATAGGTGCTGAATAATGCCGTGAATTTAAACTGAGGACACATTAAGTTTACTCATGACATTAGTGACGACAGTCACGAAGGTACATTGAATGATCGTTTTACAGCTTGACGACCATTTTTTAATATGGAGGCTAAAGATCACGATTTGGATAGAATGACTTAACCCTAGACTGCATAGGCAAAAATCGCACCTGTCGTTGCTTACTTGGGGTTACCTGTAACCCCATCTATATATTTCCCAAAAACATGGAAACAAACAAACAATAATAAATGAAGACTTTATATTGTAAAGTAACATTACAAACTACAATACCTACTTTAAACAATCATTGCATATTTCAACTCTATGTGTATTGCAAACGGCCTTAAAACATTTGGCACATGCAGTTTTTGTCTTCCGATCGTTGGCCCTTGGGCAGACAGTGCAGCGCATTTGTTTCTGTAGTTTAGTTGGAGGTTGATCAACTGTCTTCTCTAGTTCCATGCCTAGAATATTTTTTATGGAAGATGTTAAACTTCGGGGTAGAGGTTTTGTTAAACGCCGCTCCATATGGGGTCTTGAAAGTTGCAACCCAAGTTCGAATAAATATTTTCTTCTGACGCTTTTTTGTCTGTCCTGCTTAGCAATTTGGAAAATTATATTAGAGTTAACCCCTGCTTGGTCCAGCATTCCATAAAAAAAGCGCAGTGGCCATCTACGTGTTTTGCGAGAAACGGAACTAGCATGAACAATTTGGTCGAAGGTGTCGACTCCTCCTTTGGTTGAATTGTAAAAATTTATAATCTCGGGCTACAGATTTTCATCTACTACTTTACCAGTATGCATTGTAGATAGTAAAAGTACCGATTTAGATTTTTTAGGAGTAAACGATACTAAAGTTTTTTCATTATCGAATGCAAATTGGGATGTATTCGCTTCTTTTTTTTGTTTGGAAGAAAAGATGGGGGAACTTCCCTTCTGTTTTTACGAAGAGTTCCCACAACAGTTAAATTAAAATCCGAAAGCATTTTGTCGGCTAATGGAACAGAAGTGAACCAGTTATCCATTGTTAAGTTACGTCGTGTTCCGTGAATAGACTCTGATAACTTTTTTACATAGTAATCTGGGAGCGGTTCTTTATTTGGCCGGTGCTCTTTGCCAATATATGCTATAGCAGATATCATATAAAAAGTGCGCGAATCGCACATTGTCACAATCTTTAGACCATATTTATCTGGTTTTGAGGAAATGTAGACTCTAGGGACAATTGCCGCGAAATCCTAGTAACTGTTCATCAACCGTGCAGTAAGTATGAGGAGTATAGTGTTGAGTACATCGAGATATAAAGATCTCCCATAAATTGCGAATAGGTGAAAATTTATCGTCGCGGTTTCTTACTGTCTTATCGTCAAATCTGAGACATGAAATAAGAAATCTAAATCTTGTTTCACTTATAATACATCGATATATCTCTGGTCCATATTTTGACCACATTTCAGCAGTAGTTAAGTGATTGTCTTTACGGCATCCTGATATATAAAGCAGACCTATTAAGGCTAAAATTTCCGTGTCATCTGTGTTATTGATATATCCACAATCTTGACTGTAGTTGCTTTTTTGTCTCCCAATCTCCATATTGGTATACAAAACAATCTTGTTTATTACATCATCGCTGACGAACAACTTCCATGCTTCTAACTCTGCTGATACATTTTTGGCAATACCCTTCGGGCCAGGAACACGTGCAACTATATTTCGCCGAGGCGTGCGAGTTCGATATTGAGGCTCGGAGCTCGAAACGTGCCCATTTTTTCCTCTTATTACCTTCCTTGTAATCTCAACTTGATCTGCCGTTGCTTCTTCTTCGCTGTCCTCATCCAAAACGGTAGAATCACTTTCAGACTGAACTGACATATTATCTTCGTAATCGGAGCCACCATTATCAGAATCACACTCATTTTCAAGTTCATCATTCCATCGCAAAAGCGTCTCCTCAAATTTGGGATCACCCGGTCGCACAGCCATCTAAAAATAACGCTACTTGTCAATAATGTAATAAAACTTTAACAAACGGTCCTGCTTAGCTGGAATTACGCGCCACCCCACAACTCACAATGTCAAAAAACGCCTTAACTGAGTAAACACCTATAACGCACTGTCAACAGAGCGTGACCTCACATGAACATACCAGAAATCTCGGCGTTGCCAACTCCTCGGTAAGCAAATGATAAAAGAATAAAATTTTGCTGGGGTTACCGGTAACCCCACTAAGTATTCTAGGGTTAAATATGTTTATATGCTCCTCTAGCTCCGTAATAATACTCCGTATTTAAAATAGGGGCTCTGCTTCTAGACTTAAAAAATCGGAACTGTCTAATATCTATTAGATATTCAAATTTACTATAAAAGCACTTTTGTCGCAGAAAGGTCTCCTCTCTGATAATAACCCAAATGGGACAAGTTTTACCACATAACCGCAAGTTCGTTGAGGGCAGTCTTAAAACATTCTTGCATGAAAAGTGTTTCTTGGATTTCTTGAAAGAAAATTCCCGCTCACATTCTCCCTAGTAACAATTTGGTAAGTGCTATTTGCCAAGCGCAAGGTCATTAGTAGCTGTCTCAAAGCTTTCTCAGCTAAAACGGTATCTTTTTTAATACTAGATGAAAATCACGTCTTCCTATAAACCTAAAAGTTAACTATCTGACTTTGCTTTTCTACTACGAGACCCATTTCATAATCCATAGTCACATCTTACAGTTCACCCCAACGTCTTTACCGCGGCTTACGTGACGTCGCTCGAGTAGGTCTGACACAGCGTATCGTCGGCTGATGCTGATTACTATTCTCCTATAAAAAATATGTAATGTGAATTGGAATGTCCAGTTCGTACGACCCACCTTCTAAGGTCCGACCGGTGTTGCCTTGCTTGCGGTCCTCACTTGGTGCGCCGGTTTTCTATTGACTGCAAAATATACACGCACGGAAAATATATTTCGCGCACCTAGCGCCGGGTGCGGCGAAACGCCCAAGTACGATATACAAATTTTAACGTGCTGGGTACAAACTGAGGACTATCTGTTTTCCACGTTTTCTCAATGATTAGGGGTTGGGAAACACGATACGCATGGTCTCACAAATTGAATTCCATATACGGAGCTCGTTATACTCATTTTTGTAACGCAAACATATAAATAACCCAATAATTATTGAGGTGTACTAAGGACCTTAATCTTTGAGAATGTATTTAAATGTATTTAAATAACAATTCTTTACGTGAAAGTAGTCTGTCTTTGGTAGTGCTAAAACCAAGTGCGAACTGTTGAAAGTACAGCATTTACTAATACTTTCGCAAAATAGAAATAAGTAATCCAAATCTTTCGAAGATGGTAACGCTGACTATAAGACAGGGTGCTATAATTGGTAACGTGTGTACTGACATATGCTCTGAAAACGATAATCTGGAAGTTGATAAAATGTATTTAGTTTGTACGTAGTATTTGAAGAAAAAGATCTCGTGATTTGAGTCATAAGTCATACTTAGAAATGGCAACAAAAACGCAAAATATTCGTAGGGCAGATATCTGAATAATTATTGGATTATTCGAAAACTGTATGACATCGAAACACGTAGTCCTATTTTATGTAGTTGACCTTGGCTGATATTTTAAGTCCCCTATGTTATCATCCGTCGAGTTCGAATTCCATACTAAAGTTAATAGTAGGTACCAGAAAATCAGCACATTCCGAACATCTTTTGATCTTTTCTATGAGAGGAGTTACCATCATGTGACCCTTTTTTGTACCAAGAAGTTTGTCTTTTTTTCTACCACACTAGAATCACTTGTACTTTTATGCAACATAAACATCCAACTTGCGAATATGGTTTTTATAACTTAATTTAGTAGTACTAGTATATTGGGTGGTATGAATAAAAATGAAGTACCTTCTAATACTACAAGTATTAGCATTTTCTACAAAGTATGTACTTCAAATCTGAGAAGAAGCTACATTTTCAAGTAGATACTTTTTGTTTTACCGGAACTTAGTATATCAAGTAGTATTTACTGAAAGTACCTACTTCTTGTAGTAGATGCTACTAATTTGAAGAGGAATTTAGTATATGCTTGACTTTTGCGAAGTTGGTATAAGTGCAACTTCAGAGAGAATACTACGGTTAGTTTTGTTTAGTTTTCTTTGAAAATGGAAGGAATACGCAGCAGAAAAATATATAATGCAAGACGCCGCTATCATAATGATATTTTATATCATAAAATATTTCGGTAATTTAACAATAATATTATTATTGTTTTTAATTACTTTTAAAATTGTTTATTCTTTTAGGTTTAGTAGAGAAAACGTATCTTACCTAGCGAATATATTTCTCCCAGAAGTAAATGAAACTCGAGGCGGTGCTCTTACAAACATCCAACAAATGGAAGTATTTTTAAGAAGCTTAGGTATGTTTCAATAAATGAAATAGGATAAATAATCTAATTTTTATATCTTTATTTCAGGAGACCCTGGATTTCAGCTAGGCGTTGGACTTGATGTTGGGATTCATCAAACAACCGTTTAAAAAATTATTGATAAGGTATCACGTGAAATCTGTAGCAAGAAAAATCAGTGGGTTAAATTCCCTGCTACGGGAGCTATGTTCAACAGAGCTAAAGATGAATGGGCAGCACATAATACAATACCTCATGTCATTGGCGCCATTGACTGCACTCAGGTGAAAATTATAAAACCATATGTACATGGCGATGAATATATTAACAGAAAAGGAGTTTCTACAATAAATGTACAAGCAACATGTAATAGCAGAGAAATGTTTACCAGTGTTGATGCTTCCTGGCCTGGGTCTGTTCATGATTCTAGAATATGGTACAATAGTCCTATTTACCCTATTATGTATAATAATCAAAAAAGAGTTAGTCTTTTGGGTGATTCTGGATATGGTGTAACTCCTTGGATGCTTACACCTTTCAAAGATCCCATAACAAACATTCAAAAGTATTTTAACAGAATACATGCAAGAGAACGTGTGATTATAGAAAGATGCTTTGGCCAGTTAAAAACAAGATTTCCTATGTTGAATTATACAATCCGACTTAAAACAGATAGAACATGTCGATATATTATGTGTGCATTTATTTTACATAATTGTGCAAAGTTTTTGAACGATCCAGATGAACATTTTGATGAAATGAACATAGAAGAAGAAGCAGTTATGCCTGAATTATATGCCGAACCAAACAACGGTGAAGTCCGACGCCGAGGTATCCAGTTTAGAAATGAAATTGCAACACTAATGTACAGACAGCGTTGAAAAAGTAAATAAATATTTGGATTGTTTGGATTTTATACATATTTATTTTATGAAGGTTCTGACAAAATAATTAAACCTAATAAACATGTTATACAAATAATAAACATAAACCTTATTTCTCTTTTAACAAAAAAAAACATATTAATCAGTAGGTATTTTTGAATCCAAATGAATTCAAAAGCTCGCCTGTTGTCGTGCAAAGTAATCTTCTACGAATTGCTCTACAGCTCCTGCGGCCCTTTCGACAGCTAGAGCGGCCTTTTCTTGAGCTATAGCAGCTTTTTCTTGAGCTGCGGCAGTGTTGATTTGTTGAAGTAGTAATTTCTTTCGTAATTTAGCCATTAATTCTTTATCATCACAAAAAGGTATTTGATTCTCTTCATCGGTCAATGATATATCAACGTCTTGACTGGTGCCCGCAGTTACACCTCCTAAAACATTATTAAATTAAAAATTTTGCACCACAATAGTATTATGATTTTATATGGAGGAAAAGTGATTTTATGACGAGCCTGAATTAGACAGCCATGAAAATTAACTTTTCCTCCAAGTAAAATATGCTGTTTTTCTTCAAATGTCAAGAAATTAATCGCGGAAAAGTAAAAAGTGAAGCTCCGGCTGATGAAAAATAAAACTTCGTGGCCGCATACAAGTCAAGCAAATATTACGTCTTTTCTCACACGACACGATGTTTTTCGGAGCTCTCAATAAAAACTACCTGCCCGGTAACAACGCTCGATTTATTCTGTCCGTTTAGTGTTTACATGCTTTTTTTCGTACCATACAAGTTTGTGTATATGTATATTATCTAGTCTTCCGACGTTGCCGTCCTTGGACCCGATGTATTATTTTTCGTAACAATCGGCCTTCCTGACCCTCTGGTGTCCTCGCCAGTGGTATAGTACCCATGATTGTCATTTGTAGCCCTAGGAAAGAAACAAAATACAGTACCATTTTACTACAAAATCTATTACAGGGTGGATGAATTTGTAGCATTGTTCACTCACAGCCAGTGTGACTTTAGTTACCACACTTCATAATTTTTTTTTTCAGTGTGATCTTAGTTACCACACTTAGGTATATACCTTTATTAATGTGTGAGCTTAGTTACCACACTTCATGTGTATTTTTTTCACAGTGTGATCTTAGTTACCACACTTATATACCTGTATTAATGTGTGAGCTTAGTTACCACACTTCATGTGTATTTTTTTTTCACAGTGTGATCTTAGTTACCACACTTATATACCTGTATTAATGTGTGAGCTTAGTTACCACACTTCATGTGTATTTTTTTTTCACAGTGTGATCTTAGTTACCACACTTATATACCTGTATTAATGTGTGAGCTTAGTTACCACACTTCATGTGTATTTTTTTTTCACAGTGTGATCTTAGTTACCACACTTATTAAATCTATCAGATTGGTGTGAACTTTGTTACCACACTCATGCTATCTTCGATAGTGTGAACTGTGTTACCACACATATAGTTATGTATGCTACCTTTCATCTAGTGTGATCTCGGTTACCACACTACCACTGATTCACAATAACACTGCAACTCCAGTAACCAGTTTTATTACATGATAATTAGAGGACATATAAATATATCTATACCTTACAGACTAACCTTCTAACAAATCAATCAGCTCATCTGTACTATTGACCTCGCTTTCACTTTCTGTAATATCAACGACACCACCTTTCCATTCTCTCAAGCTATCCGCAGCTACTATAGCTCTAAATCTCTTATACCCCTTCAAGCCGTCCAAAGATGTTATTTCATATCTATCATTTCCCAAAACCTTCTTGATTTTATAAGGCCCACCAAACTTTTGATAACCTACTTTCCTACTAACTTCTTTTTGATTTGTATTCGCCCCTGACCATAATACAAGATCACCCTTATTGTATGACTTTGTAGGCGTGTGCTTTTCATCGAAACGTTTTTTCATTTTATTTGCCTGTATGTCCATCCTGTCTTTTGCCTTTCGCTTAGCATCGGGCGGGACCTCAAACTCATTATCTCCCAGATCAGCATGACGGTTTTTTTCATAACCAAACATTAAAAGGTGTGGCGCATACCCGGTAGTATCGTTCACTGTATTATTAATACCCCATAAAACTTTAGGAAGAGCTCTCTGCCAATCACTTTCATTTTCTATAGACGTATTTATCCCGTTTAATATTGTTCGATTATACCTTTCGATTTGCCCATTTGCTCTTGGACATGCTATAGCGTTTAAAATATGTTTAACTTGATACTGGCTTAAAAATAATTTGAACGCTTTACTAGTGAAAGCTTTTCCACGATCTGAAATTATTCTTTTGGGAGTCCAGAACATACTAAATAAATCGTCTAAATGTTCATTAACCTCTTTAGCCTTTGTAGTTTTTGTCGGTCTAGCAAATACAAATTTAGCGAATGAATCAATTATCATGAGAATATATGAATTTCTCCTATCACTTTTAACAAATGGGCCTAAATGGTCAATATGCCATGTATGAAGCGGTTCGCACGGCTTACTTATGGGAAAGAGTTGTCCTTGTTGTTTTCCATATTGTCCCCTTTTATACTGACAATCTAGGCACGCAGTTACGTATTTTTTTATAAATCTAGTCATATTTTTGAACCAAAATTTGTCCTTGATGATTGCCTCGCATCGTTTTAGTCCTACATGGCCGATATCATCATGATATTTCCGCAATATGTTAAATCGCGCAGACTTTGGAACAACCAGCTTAAGCTTACCATCCAACGTCTTACGATACAATTTATGATCCCTTATTTTATAGTTATTTAAAATGTCCTTGTCATTTGCTGCGGCTAACTTTTCTTTTATTATCCGTATACTTTCATCTTGCTGTTGTAATGCTAAAACCCAATCAGACGCGTCCATAATAAGTACATCGCCCACTGGATTTCTACTTAGAGCATCCACATGTTTCATTTTATCACCCGGACGGTGTTCTATTTCGAAATCGAAATCTTGGATACTCAACCACCATCGTGCAACCCTAGGTAGCAAATCTTTTTTCTCAAAAGTACCCCTAACTGCACTACAATCTGTGACTATTTTAAAATGTATCCCTGTCAAATAGACCCTAAATCTTTTGATTGACTCAACAACAGCTAAGGTCTCTAACTCGTATGAATGATATAATTTTTCATCACGAGATGTTGATCGGCTAAAGTAATATACCGGTTTTAACGTAGCTCCCTCATACTGTAGGAGCATACTTCCAATGCCCTTGCTACATGCGTCTGTATGTAGTTCAGTCTTTGCTTCAGGGTCATAAATTTTGAGAATAGGTTTATTTATAAGTATATCCTTAATTTTACTAACAGCTTGTTTGTGCTCACTTTCCCAAGACCACGGCACATTTTTTCGTAACAATGTTGTAAGTGGAGCGACAATTTTTGCATGATCTTTTATAAACTTACGGAAATAGGAACTGAGTCCCAAAAACTGCCGTAGCTCATGTATATTTGTTGGATCTTTGAAGTCTGCTACTGCTCTAACTTTTCGATCACCAGGTCTTATTCCTAGTTCCGAAATCTCATATCCAAGGAAATCTATTTGTGTCTGGAAAAATGAGCACTTATCTATATTCAATTTTAAATTGGCTTTGGCAAATAATTCAAGAACTTGTCGTAAAACTTGCAATCCCTGTTCCACAGTGTCTGACGGGATCAGTATGTCGTCGAGATAAACAGCGACCGTTTCATATCTCAAATTTCCCAATACATTATTTACCATTTTTTGAAATGTGCCGGGAGCATTAGCGATCTCAAAAGGCATTCTTACAAATTCATAGTGACCGTCAGGCGTTACTAAGGCAGTTTTATTAATGGAATCAGATGCCACAGGCACTTGATAATATCCTTGGGCCATATCTAAACTGCAAAAATACTTTTTGTTTTGTAGCCTGGATATCAAATCTTCTATGTGTGGTAGTGGATAATTATTCTTCACCATGATAGAATTTAATTTTCTATAGTCAACGCATAAACGGTAATCTCCGGTCTTCTTTTTTACAAGAACGATTGGACTAGAGTAGTTAGATGATGATTCTCTAATAATACCTCCTTCCAAGAGGTCACTAATTTTATCTCGGACGATCCCCCTTTCAAATTCAGACAAGCGGTAGGGCCTATGAATGATTGGTTTGTCAGATAACAAATCTATTTTCAATTCTACTGATTTACTATTACCTAACTCGAGAGTATCAGTTGCAAAACATTTGCTGAAGCTATGTAAAAGATCATACAACTTATTTCTATCATTTTCTGATAAATTTCCACAAATTATGTTATCCATTTGTAACGATAGAGTGCTTAGTACATTGCCTTCTTCTATGACTGGAAATTTAGTCGAGGAACTTAGCTTGAACCCCTTTGTTAAAATTTGTCCTTTGTCCCAACATATAGGTTTATTACCCCAATTTATGACATTTAACGTTTGAACTGGTCCACTAATAATACAACCTTGTATAGAACAATTTTGGGAACCAGTAAACAGCTGACCACTTATAATAACAATATCGTGGGTATTATCTAAAGCAACCAATATTCTCTTAGAACTTAGAGCAGGAATATGTACATGTTCGAAAACTTCAATAGGCAATTTTTCTATATTATCTAGGAAACTAAACATTTCTAACAAATTATCTTCAGCTGGTTTTAATTGTATATGACCACCTGTAACATTCAAAGTCACCTTTTCGCTATTTATAATTGGTTGTCCAATAATAACATCAACTGAGGACATTTCAACATTTGCAAATACCAAAGACGTAGTCATAAAAATCTTGCCAATAGATATCTCTACCTGACTGGTTCCTTCTGGCACTATGTGGGAGCCACTGAAATTCCTCAGTATTATATCAGTCGGATACAATTTTAAATTGAGTTTATTGGCTACCCTAATATTAGCAACATTCAATTGACTACCAGTATCAATATACCCATTGAAATGTTGACCATTAATTTCCATGGCTATATTATAGAAAGAATTGTGCACTTGCCTTTGCAAAATTCTAAAATTCTGACATCCTTAGGCTCCCCCCGTTCCTTAGTCCAGCAGTTTTCAGCTAGGTGTCCTCTTTTCCCGCAGGTGGTGCAGGTCGATGTCAAACTCGGTCTTTTCCAACAGTCCTGGTCCTTATGTCCCATTTTACCGCAACTCGAACATGTCGGCTTGACTCTGGACCAACACAGCTGCTCCGTGTGCCCCTTCTTTCCGCAACCAGGACAACGGGTACCTTGATCACTGCTCCTTGGAGTACTGCTACTAGTCGCCTGATTCGATCTTCTAAGTAAACAATGTCGGGCTTTATGCCCTACTTTCTTGCATAAGATACACCTAAATGTCAATTGTCCAGATGTACTAGGTTGAAGATCAAAATTTTCTGTGGTACCCATTCTCTTAGCTGGCGACTCGCGAAAACTCTCTACTTTGCTAAGGAACCCGTAGAACAGCTCGTCTGGTGATTCATAGTTCCCCGCTTTGGCGTTAGCTTACAGTGGTATGGGTAATCCATCAATTATGCAAGAAACTGCATTAGTCCCCACTAGTCCACATTTTTTTACCAGCATGTTCTTCGAATAGAAATAATGCATCATGCTCTCATCATTACTCTTACTTCGCGCCAACATTTTTTTTAGCAAGTTGACGTAGTCTGTATGTGCAGGGAAGGCACGTGAAATGGCCAATTTCCACTCGTCCCAATTCAAGTTGTAGTCTGTTAGCCCGTTATACCAAACTTTTGCCAATCCTGTAAGGCGAGACTGCATGCATAATGATTTTTGTTCATCGCTCCAACTATTAATCATTCCAATTTGTTCAATCTTATGTAACCAATTTATGGCAGTGAATTCTGATTTTTCTGGATCAAACTCTGGTATCAAATCTGCTTTCCCGGTGTATTTTGAATCAGTGCTCTGTATGAAATTACGTTGACTCAAAATTTTACTCACTTTTTTCGCCACAAGCTTGTCAACAGTTTTCTCGATCTTCCGTTTTTTTGTTGGAGCACACACATAAAGTCCAGATTGTTCATTATCATCCTCACTTGAAGTGTCACTCATCTTGCACTAAGTCTATACACAGTACTTAGCAACACGATAACTTATTAACCCGTCACAACTAATCAATATTCAGTAAGTTCTATCCCACCTTCTGAAATATTACGTCTTTTCTCACACGACACGATGTTTTTCGGAGCTCTCAATAAAAACTACCTGCCCGGTAACAACGCTCGATTTATTCTGTCCGTTTAGTGTTTACATGCTTTTTTTCGTACCATACAAGTTTGTGTATATATTATCTAGTCTTCCGACGTTGCCGTCCTTGGACCCGATGTATTATTTTTCGTAACACAATAAATGATTTACTGACGTTTGAAGAAAAAATATATAATATCAAATAATACAGTACCTGGCACTTGTTGAATTACTGGATTCTCACTCCCATTCCATAGGTTGAAAAATTTTTTTTGCCACTCATTTAACTTAATTTTCCTATTTCCTATTTTCTTCATATCGGTAATATTTTTAATTTTACTTTTCATATTATTAACTTTTTTAAATACCTGTTTTGCATCTAAATTTTGTTTTGTATTTCTGTTATACGTCTCTGTGAATTCTTTAAGTGCTTTGTCTTTGGCAGACTTAACGGGAGGTGTCATTTTTTTATCCAGAATAATTTTGTAGTCTTCTAACATCGTAACAAAGGCTAACTGCAAATCTTCATTTTGGGACTTGATTTGGCATTTCCTCGTCGGAAGACATTTTAACGCGCGTGCCGTACAATACCAAGTATGTGAATATTTAAAATAAAATAAAACAACAAGTGTGACCTGTCGAAACTTGTGGAAAGGAGAAGATGCTACTCAATTTAAAGCATTTACTTCGGAATAAAAGTAGATACTACAGGCACGATAGTAAGTACTTCGACGTAAAGCAAATACTACCGGAACTGATTGGATACTTCATGGCGAAGTATTTACTTTGAAGTAGATTCTTAAAATTGTAGTATAAGCATCTACTTCGTTTTTATTCATACCTCTCAATGTGTGTGAAACACAATACCTTGTATTTGTATTAGTACAAGTTTCAAGTAAATTGACTTCTAATTATTACATTATACTTTTTATGGAATAGGACCGCAGTTACAAACAGTAACAAGTTTAGTAAATGTAATATCGTCAAAAAATGACAACTGATAGAAACGTGGATCTCTAAAAGTGCTTTAAAGAAATTATGTACTTTAATCAGTTGATTCAGCAAGACATTAACGGAAGCATATGCTTGGAAAATCTTGGAAAAATGAGACAGACAGTAAGAGCTTTCCGAAGAAAGACAGGTGACAGTGCTCCAGAAATACTTGTACTCCCTTATCGTTCAATCATCGTATATGATACTTTTGAAGAACATGCTTTGACGATTTTCTTGAAAAGTGAGCTATCGAGATATCAGAATCCTCCCCAAAAGTGCTTCTATAGTTCAAATAATGCAGGAATTAAGATGTTAGAAAAGAGTCAACTGTGTTTTGGCAAAACATTGTGAGAAATAACACTACAATAATCGATTTAGATAAATATATGTGTTTTGTTTCTGCCGAATTTGTGCAGTTATCCATATTCGAATTGATTGGTAAGTATGTTATCATTCAACGCATTTGAATTCTATATTAAAGTTGCAAAAAACCCTTCACTGCACAAATCTTATTATGCCTGTTAGAACTATTACTTGACTTTTTTCTGTACGCAATTGTACCAAACAACAACTTTCGTTACTTTTTTGTGACAAACAAGGATCACTCGTAGAAAGTGGATTTGATACAACAAGATAAATATTACCACTTCTCTCTTGGAACATAAATATCTGACTTGTGAATAAACTATTGCAGCTGGAGACTATGTGGAAGGTGCAACACCCTTGAAAGGACGTTCAGATATCTGTCTTTACTCCCTTCTAAATGAGAAACCTTTAGGTAATTGATATTCACTTATGATACATCACAGTTATGCCACGCATATCCACGTTTTCAAAAGGATAAATTGGAAACTGACACTTTGCATGGCTAACATAAAATAAACATAAAGCTTCAGTTTTTTCTGTCAATCTTTGAGCTTGCTCAAAACAGTGTTTTCAAAAGGATCAAACATTATTGGTGTGCTCAAGCACTTGCAAATTGAATGCATTCTTTTTTCAAACGTTCTTGTTTCTTGTGAGACGACCAGTATTGTCTGCAACACACTTTTGTCATTGTTTCTTAAATACAAGCCTATTTTGGAAATATTTATCAACGTTTTTAACAGTTTGTTGAATTCTTTACGTTTCTGTGAGAATTTTACTAATTCGTGAGAAGTACAAGTCAAAGTGGTGTGAACTTGGATGAAAAAATATAGCAAACAATTTAGCAAATATACTCGAATTCTCGATTCACAAAATTTCATGGTGAAAATGAACTGTAATTTATATTTTTTATCTGCTCGCTATATGCGTTTTAGCTCAATAATTACCTCAACACCATATAATATACAATAATCTATAAGTGATTTGATTGGAAGAAATATTTTGGGATAGGTTTTAACCTTTCGAATTATTTAGTTGGGGTGGAAAATGATTCTCTCTATGAGTGTGCTTATCCTCGTCCGTTGAATATTTCTTCATGGCTAATATGTATTTATTGCTGCAGGCCCTCAGCTCTGTCTTTTTCTCAATCAGAGACTGTTTTAAGAGGTCGACCCCAGTAATCATTCGGGTATCTTCGGCAAATTGTTTGCAACATTTTGTCTGCCAACTTCACATCCATCCACATTGGATTTTAGGTTTGCTCAAGACCTGCGGTTAGAATATTACATCACAGAGATATATGCAAAGAGTTGCAATCGACTCCAACTGCCAGGAAGTTATATGGAATAGATCATTGCCACTCTAGGAGTAATTCTAGAGTACAGCTAAAGTATGGTACCTCAATAACAGCCAAATCATCATCAACTCTTGGCACCATTCGTCAAATGAACATCCGTGGGGTATGATGGGAACAAGAGAGACCTCTTTACCTTATCCTCTACCAACATTAGCAACACTTCGCATTGAGTTTGGTATGAGGTACCTCATCAGAAGCACGCTACGATAACTGTACGAGAATGCATGTGCACTAAGTTGGTTCAAGACATTATTAGCGGATTCTAGCGATACAGTTAATTTTTTTACCTAAAAATTGTGTCACGTTTTCCTCTTGCTTACTTCTAACTATATACAAAATTCATTCACATAAGACCATTTCCAATGGGCGCCCTTTTTTGTCAGAAAGAATGCTCAAGAACCATGTCTACAAAATTGAAAAATGTTTAGTAAATGACATGGTATTGTGTATGATCTAGTTATCACATTTGCTAAACGTTTTTCCAGGAAAGTCATTTTCTGTTTTGGGGAACATGAAGGTGTTAATGTTTTGACGGTCTATGCCATTAAATAGGGAGATTATGTATAAGGAAATTTTACAGTTTGGGCGACGGTAACTTTTTAGTGATATCGTTACACTATTGCTTTCCTAATGACAAGTTGAAATTGGCATCATGACAGGGCTAGAGTATTTGCCGTCATTTTGATAAACGCGTTTAATTGAAAATATCAGACAATCGATCTTATGTAAAAAGGGGCTTTGGAGCTAATTAAATGGTCCATCATTTTAATTTTATAAAAACTTCTATTGGTGAACAGGTTACAAGATAATTCAGGGTAAAGGTACATGTAATGATATTTTCAACTATAATGGCTAAACTAAGAACCTAACTGGTACGTTTTGTAAAGAAAGAAATTTGGCACAAAAAAGATCACTTACGTTTTTTCGACATTTTGGTGGTGCTTAAAGTATAAGGAGAGAATTTTGAAAATTTTTATCAAAGCAGTCGCACGACATAGTTCTGGCGCTACATATGTACGTGGTCCACTTAATCGGCATGTAACATTATTTCGCATGAAATGACTGCGTTATCTTTACCCATGACCAAGAATATTACCACGTGCAAGCATTGAAAATTAATATTTTTTGATAATTTCTGATTTTTTTCATTATGAAGATCAAGTCACTCACTTCCATTAGTCGGTGTATTGGCGATTTTGTCACCGACTAATTTCACCGATTTTAATGGACGAGGAGATGTTGTAGATAATACTAGTTTATTGCATTACTCCCTTTCCACTAAAATCGTTGCAACGGTTGCTGAGTGTACCGAGACAAAATGGCCAATAAAGAGACTGGTAGAAGTGAGCGACTTGCATTTACATCATAAAGTATCCGAAAAAAAACAGATTTTCCATACTCATCCGTCCGAGTAAAACATCGATAATAATTTGTAGTGTTATACCCACGTGAAAACATGTATACTGACACGTGGGCAACGTGCGTTCAGTGCTGAGTATGCCGCGAGACAATTTATTATAAATTCTTGACTTTTACTCCATACACTTAATTCTCTACATAAATGGATAAGAATCTTTTAAGCGCTTGAGCTGTTAGTTTAACCATTATAAACGAAAATGACCTTAAATGTAACTTTACCCTTAATTTTCTTGACATATTCACTGTATGACAAGGTTTATAAAAGAAAAGTGATGAATTTCATTCCCTACGGACGCGCTTTTTAAATGAAACACTCAAACCAATTTGAACTTATCATTGTTGTCATCAAATTGTAGGAAAAATCTCATAGCCTACACCTCACTTTCTAAAAGCCACAAAAAATAATTTGGCATCCTTACACTTATGTTAGAAAATAAAATTGCATCATTGCACCATGTAATATCAATTCTGAAAATTATCCGTTTACACATTTTTTTGATTCCATTTTCTACAATTTTACGTTCTTGTCTATTAAAATTACATCACTATGCATTTTGAGTACTCATAAATTGATTGTTTAATTTCACCTTGAACATTTTTAAATTCGAAACTGTTTAATATAATAATTTTTCAATTTATTTAATTCGAAAACTGTAAAATATCATTATTTAATTTATTAAATTCAAATACTGCCTTTTGAAATACAGATCTGCTAGTTATGCTACTATTACAGTTTTGCAGATAAAAACCTATACTGCCTCTATTTGCGAAGTTATGATAATAATTTTGTGAAGTTTTTTAAATGTAGTGGTAATAAATAGTTGTTCAATTTGAATATGCAAATTTGAACTAAATAGCATATAAAGTTGTTTACATTCAACCACTGTAGTTCTTCTAACATAGACTAAATCCTAGCATATTTGTTTTTATTTAAAATGATTCCCATAGCTTTATGTTGTAAAATTTGTAATTTTGAAAATATGTTTTCATTTGCTGTGAACAAAATAGTTGAACAATATAAAAT